AGTCTTCCTGAACACAAGACCAAGTTGCGACAACGAGGTCAATCCAATTCTAAAAGTTAATATTGTTGTTGTAACTTTCATTTGTATGAATGATTCTTAGTTCGAGCTCACTAATAAACAACCGTTGTTTTGATAAATTCTCACGAGCTTCACTCCAGGATCGTCTTTTTTGTTATTCCATTCTCTGAATCAACAACAGAGGAGCGATTACATAACCTTGAGATATACGAATCCAGTTAATAGTATGCATAAAGATAGTAGTAGATGCTGAACTAGATTTGGCGTTTAGTTTACGTCAGAGCCAAATTGGAAGAAGCAAAAAATTACATTCTTTGAAAGAACTTAGTCAGCTTCCTCCTCTCTAGTCATAGGAAATGCTTCACGTACAGTTGCATGCTGTATGTTGTGATTACAAATGTCCATTTCATTGCCTCATAAAGGGATCGAGATTACTGTAGAATCATGCTTGAAAGGCAATTCAGGCAATAAGATCAAGTGAAATCCTTTATTTACTTGATCTTGGGCAGCCCATCCATCTGATAGACCACGTTCTGCCTGTGATTTCGAATCGTAAACATGCCACCTCGTCCTTCGGGGCCAAATTTCGATGAATCTGTCCAGCTTCGCCGAATTTTTGTATCTATTCCTGTATATGAGATGCGTTCACCTTATTTCGTTTAAGGTGATTAAGGACTGGTAATTGAATTTTCCCACAATGATATGAGTAGATCCTAAGTTTTCATTAAATTGCGCAGTGCCTTGCTTTACCGAGCATATTCTCCTCCAGGATGGAGCTGACTGCAGTTTCGTTCTCTCATAAACTGGTCTCATCAGCATCCCCAATGGTAATCGAACCCTGACGGTGCAGGGTATAATCTCGTCAGATTAACCCCTACGCCACATTACCACGAGTGCCGTTGGGTCACAGGCCAGATGTGGATTTCAAGAAATTTCAGGCATTTTGACATATCACTTTCTATGTTGAGATTGCCGATGAAGCAAAGTTGTATGTGCTAAAGCAATCGACTGCATTACTTATTTTTCGTTTATAATTAGATTTTCGAGACAATCAGAAAATCATATGTATGACATGTATTCAATCCATTTCCTTTAAGATGATAAGGGGACTGGTATTTATGAACGAAAAAATAAGTAATGTAGTCGATTGCTTTGCTCAATCGACAATCCCACCAAATAATGCGATATGCCTTCCTTGATATTCCCATCTGTCCTGTGACCTAAGGGTAATTGTGGTAATCACATAGTTGGTAGCGTATCGAGATTATACGTTGCACATTTACAACCCGTGTTCGAACTTCGCTGGTGGTGCTGAATAGACCAGTTCGGTCGAGGTCGAAGCTGTAGTTTACCCCAGCCTGGTTGAGAATATTTTTGGGAAAGTAAGTCTATGTTAAATGTAAAGGAAGAATGAGGTCGACTCACATAATTTGGAAAAGTTAAACTATCAGTTCCTTTATTACCTTAAACGAAAGAGATTGAATCCATCTCATATATTTGATCATCTAGTAGTCTCGAAGCCCTTCTTATAAACTAAAAATATTTAATATGAGATGTATTCACCCAATTTCCTTTAAGGTGATGAAGGACTGGTAGAAGAAGAATTTTCCCACAATGATATGAGTTGAGCTGACGTTTCCATTGCTCACATAGCCTTGCTTTCCCAAAAGTTGTTCATATCCAGGCACCAGTGGACTGCAGTTTGGCTCTCGCATCGGTCTTATCAACATTCTAGCGGGAGTCGAACTGTGACAGTGCAATGTGAGCTTGACACATTAACCACTCGGCCACATTGTCACGAGTGCCCTTGGGTCACAGAGCAGATGTGAATTTCAAGGAAGGCCATATCGCATTCTTTGGTGGGATTGTCGATGAAGCTTCATCGTGGCAATTTGGCCGAGTGGTTAAAGTGTCAAGCTTCTATTTTGCACTGTCACGGTTCGAATCCTGCTGGGGGTGTTGATAAGATCAGTTGATGCGAGGTCGAAACTGCAGTCCACTGGTGCCTGGATGAGAACAACTTTTGGGAAAGCAAGGCCATGCGAAATTGAATGGAAACGTCAGCTCTACTCATATCATTGTGGGAAAATTCAGCTTCTACCAGTCCTTCATCACCTTAAACAAAATACGGTGAATCCATCTCATATTACTGATTTACTGGTAGCCTCGAAACTCTACTTAAATAAGAATGATAAAAATATGTATTTTTTCATCTGAGTTTAGGCTTGATTTCGTTTAAAAATGGTGACATGATTACACTTGTTGATCAGCCTAATCAGATGCTGGGGAATGAGGATCTTTGGTCGACTGGACCCGGGGCCTCTTGTGGAGAAAACACCAGAATATCGTTTTAACATGACGCAGTGCCGGTCACATGTCCCTACTTTGAGTCCTCAAGTTCTGCTCCTCATGTTGGCAAACACGCTGAACCGGTTGCCATCTGCCTGAGGGCTCTACACTTTTTCCACCTTTTCACACAGTGTGTTTCACACAAGGCGTCGAACGCCTGAAAGAGCAGACTAACCGGGTGTTTTCACGAGGTTGAATACCGTCTTGGCCCGGTAAAGCAAGGTGCCCCTTGACAGGCCAGGAAATTCGCTACTTTGCGTTACAACCGCCACAGCTGTTCGTGTACCAGGCACACAGACAAATGGTCCTGTGGAGACAAGCGTAAAGCGGCGTCTCAGACCTTCTACAATTCATTCGAGGCCGCGTGGCGCGCTAGGCTTGAAAAGGCGCGAAGTGACAGGCCAGAAGGCTTGTCGGGCCACGGGTTCAGGCAGTGTTGCCTCCCGCCTCCGACACAAGAATCCCGAGCAAAAGGGAAGGCGAGTGGGAGACCGAGAGGTATACATACCAAAGCGGAGTGTGTGTGTGTGTGTGTGGAATCTTCTCGGACAAAGCGATATGAAATGAAGTTTCTGGTGGACCACTGTAACCACGTGAGTACGGCATTCGGAGATGCCGATACCCCCTCGAGGCAGTGGACCCCTAAAGTAGCCTTAATCCCAGGCCCTGGGAACAGGACAACTGGGCTGCT